AGCTGATCATGTCAGGGTATTTCTGCCCTGGCAGCAGTTCAGCTAGATTGAAGGGGTTTGGAGGGACTGCCCCTCCCCCCTTCCCTTAGCATCAATCCATACTCAGCCTTTAGAAAACAATTTACCAGCCAAGTTGGAATAGTTTCCTTGTCTACTTTCTGTGAATCCAAGCCTAATCCAGGTCCTATAGGGGGCTGCATGGCCACTCTGTGGTGTGTTCTGCTGATGGACTCTTGGACATCCGGTACACTAGGCTGGCACTTGGAGGTCATGGTTAAACAGGGGAACTTTTAGACAGCAGTGCTTACAATTAAAAAATTACTTGATATACATCTTAAACAATATGTAGTTTCCCAAAGCTGCCACTGAGTCATACTTACCTGGCAGTAAGCAGGCTCCTGGCTTTGCTGTAGGAGCTACAGAAGTTAATGAAACCTAGTCAAAAAGTCTCTGGAGTCCCCAGGTATCTCTGATCTCATTTCAGACAAGTTCCTACATTTGCAAAAAAGGCTTGAAAATAATTTCAAGCCTTAAAAAAAGTGCTCAACAAAAGGCAGGGGACTAATATCTTTTTTTTCTATATACAGTGTGTGTTTATACACTTATATCTTTTTTTGCATTTAGAACTAGCTGTCCTGCATCAGGGTGGAAATAATGAGAAAAACGCTGATGTCATGCAGTTGAGTTTCACTGCTGTGGCTCCACTTGCCTGTAGCTTTAGCTCTGCAGTTAGCTCTGTGGCTCTCCAGATAAAATGTTCTGGGACCTGGCAAAGGCAGACTGCAAATAAAACTTCAAACAAAACTGTAGCTACTCTTATGACATTGATTCATCTCCAGCCCTCTTCGCCAAGTCTCAGGTCTTTCTGCCAATTGCTATTTGTCCTGAGGTTAATGTTTTTTGTCCCTTCTTCTGGCATGGGAAACCATCACAGGGAAGTTGAATTAGGATACATGAGAAACAGAAATGCTGACACTGCAAACGTGTCTGGTGTGCAGAGCAAGACGACCACTTCTTTTGTCTTTCTAGTCAGCATTTATTAATAAAAGTTTAAGAGTGCAAGCCACAAAGTTTTCAGGGAAATGTAATTTGCAGATTGATAATACCCTGTTGTGGGCTGGCACTGTAGCACTCACTGCCTTGTTAGCCTCTCTGTGATTTTCAGTGGTGTACAGCTAAAACTGAAAACATTCCCTGTTCACTCTTAAGGTGTAAACAAAAGAGAAGCATGTTACTTAAAAAAAAAAAAAAAAGAGTAAAAGAGTAGGTGGCTTATTCATTAATTTAATTTCTCCTTGATTTTGTCAGAAGAGACTAAACTTCTGCATATTTTCCTGTTTTCAGACACCATCCCAGAGGACTTCCAAGAATTTCAAGCGCAGCAATTTGGTGTTGGGGATATTTAAGAAGTAAAAGCAAACTAACATTGCTATTGCAAACAGTAAAACAATATATTTTAAATCCTTATATGACCGTTGTTGTCAGAGTGCACACCGCAGCTTTGTTCTCATTGATGTGACTATGTCAGACTTTTTTTTTGTATGAAAGTGAAAATAAAAAGGAGACAAAATAGACCTGGGCTTCACTTGTTTTCAAATTTGCCCTAAAATCTAGGGAACATGTAAATGAAGTGACACTTGCATAAAACATTCTCAGGAAAAGTTTGAATCTGTTGTCGTTTTGGATTCGGTATTAAACACAGTAGGCTAGAAAGTGAAATTTTGTCTCCCTTGTTAGAAACAGGTTGCATCTGGGCATGAAGTGGTCTGGCCAAGCCAAGGGCTTTTGAGTATCTTTCCAAAGGAGACAGTATCTCCTTTAGGACAGTTTAATACCTTTGGAGACTCTCTTACCTTTGTCAGACCTCTTCTAAGAACTCTGTTAGGCCTCTCAGCCCTCCCACTCCTGGAAACTACGAGTAACACTATCACATCCAATAAAATCAAAAAAAGCTGACTGCAGGGCAATGTAGTCACATCTTATGGCTTGGTTTGCACACTACTGAAACAGCTTGCACATGACTGAAACAAGAAAAAGACTATGGAGACAAATGCAGAACCACCTAGGCAGAGAAAATAATCCTTTCACATAAACAAAGCAGGCTTTGAACTGCTGTCCCCATTCAGAGCAGAGCTTTATTGGCAGGTTCTGCAATCTTATGCAAATAAGTCATCAAGTTAAAAACCTAAACCACTGCATTAAGCATTAGTAACCATTAGAAAAGGACTGGAATTGTATCATTGTATCACAGTGCAGCCTATAATTTGAAGTGCAGAAGGGTGTTGATAGAGTGCATTTCTACTATATTCGTTTTCAAAATGGAGCAAGGAAAGGAAGGGAACACAAGCTCCATGGACCACTGAATAGAAGGATGTTGCAGCTTATAGGATAGTTACTTTAAAAAGGACAGTGGGAAACAGCACTTCAGCCTGGGAGGAGGAGGAAGGAGGAAATAAAAAGGGAATCAGAAGTAGCTCTGAGAAAATAAACAGTCATAGCTCTTTCCCAGCCCAAGAATACAGGTGAAATGCTGAGTTAAATTATCAGGTGAAAGTATCAAAACAATAACAAAAAAAAAAGTTTCCTGTTTTCAGTACAATAAAATACCCTTAAGGATATTACACGCTGTCAAAGACTTTGACTACTGGCAGACTTTTCCCTGTGGGCTTGTCCACCATAGCTAATGGTTCTGGAAGCAGGGTGGCCCTGGGACCTGTCCCATGAGGGATCCCAGAGTCTCACAGCAAAGAGCATGATGCAGGAGCGTTCTTCTGGCTCAGTGCTTCATGGTGAAAGGTCCTCCAGTTTCAGTCCTCCTTTGCCTTTGGCTTCATAGCTTCGCTAAGCTCAACTTCACTCATCAGGTTTTCAGAGAACTGAAAGGCTACTTACTTTGGAACAACAGAGAGGGCACTGACAAATTATGTTTAGAAGATGAGGAAAAAAATGTATTTTGCTAGCTGAACATGGGCCGTAACTGCAGTATTGTTCATTTATGAAGAAGAACACACACTGTAAAGCAATTTTACGTCATCCTTGTCATACATTTGCATTTCACTGATGGAGCCCCTTCTCCGGGCAGAATTCTCTCTGAACGGTCTGGCCACAACCTGGGCAGAAGGCAGTCACTTGTACTATGCTCACACACACTGGAGCAGAAAAACTGAGGCCTGCAGTGCACACATTTTGCAGAAGTGATCCCCTCACAGCAGATGCAACAGGCTTGGCCCACCCTGACCCGACTTCAGCACATGCAGCACATACCAGCTCCAAAAACATGATTGCAATAGGCCTTTGAATTCTTCCCAGACTCCAAAACTCTGCTCAGCCTCCCGTCTGCAGCTGGAGCCTCTCGTCCTGCTACAGTTGCTGGGATGGAACATCCTGGGCCTCTGCCATACCAGCTGGCTTACCACTGTGGAGCTTGCCAATTTCCAGGCTCTCTTCTATGCTTCGGCCACGGGCCACTCACTGGAGGATGGAAGGTGAGATACAGGATCTGGCTCTTCAGCTGTTGTCAATGGTAACTGAGTGAAGCTGTGAGAAAACATACTGGCTTGCTCTACTGGCAGTCAGAAACAAATCACAGCTCAGAGAGCCACAACTTTTCCTTTGTTTCAGAAAGTGCTGGTGGGACCTTACAATGGGATGCCGGAGCTCCCAATGTCCATTGTATTGACACACCAAGAGCTTGGCAGCTTGCAAGCTCAGGAAGAGTGAAGTCCAGCTGTTGCAGACAAACATTTGCCTCAAGAAAATCAAAGTCTGGGCTTGGGAAACCTTCTACCCCTCACATTCACATCAGAGATTGTGCAGTCCTTGTGTGAAAGGGTTTAAACAAGCTTCTCTAGCATGACAAACTCCTACTGGACTATTGTGCAATGCAGACATTGCTCCATGTGTGGTCTCTGGCAAGTGAAGACATGCAATCCCATTATCTTTAAAACTGAACATACAGCCCTCTCTTGTTCCCACCGCCTGCACAGCCAGGCTGTGCTCAGCTAAAGCAGCAGCTGTTACTACTCTGGAGTTTAGTCCTGTAGCTCCTGCACCGGAGTCTAACATCTCAACAAAGGTTAACTCTTTCCTGTGTGCTGCAGACAACATGGCAAACACACTTCAAGTGTTTCTGTTCCCCGAAGACCATCTCCTGTTTTAAATCCCAAGAATGGATCATCCTGCCAGGATTGCTGTGGGGTTAGGTGAGGGCAGAGGTGGGCAGACTGGTGAGAGGCTGCCGAGCAAAGACAGTCAGCACTCAGAATCCTTTGGCACCACTCAAGAACCCCTCTCTGCTTTGCACACAAGTCAAAATGCACGCTTCCCAGCTACAGGGCACCAAAACTCTGTCATGCACCATACCTGCACAGGGAATCAGCAGCCACCACTGGACCCTTGGAAGCTTGGTCAGTACAGGGAGCTGTGTCCTGGTGTGGGTCTGTTCGAGTGGCATGGGTGCCACCAGTGCCAGCAGGCAGGCTACAGCGGGCACATGCTGAAACAGGACAAGGATGGTGAAAGGTAAGAAACCACCATCCATGGAGACAAAGCACTTTCCCTGGTATGGATCTAGGCATATCAAATTCAACAGCTGCCCACTATACCATCTGGGAAAGTGGGGAAAAAAAAAAAAAATCAGACAGCTGTGTTTCAAACAAATGCACAGGCTTCAGTGCTACACCAGCCTTGAAGGTATTTTGTTTGCACTGTCAAAGTATCTGACACATCTCAAGGAGCTGGATTGTACAAAACAGATGTCACAGACAAATCTATGCAATCTGTCAATTGTCCAATATCACACTCTGGAGAAATACAAAAATAACATGGACAGTGAAGCCTTGTAATAGTCCATAGTGGTTAAACAGCATCCAAATTCAGTGACAAAAAAGATCAGCTTACTTTTACTGGCTCATTAACTGCTTACCTCATATATTTAGACAGTTTTTAAGTTTCTCCTAGACTGAATTGATTTTTCAACTTTTATGTATCACAACAATTAATTTCAAATATAAGAAAAATTTTATTGGTCCATTAATCTATAACAATACATTCACTCAGTATACAAAAGGAAGTGTCCATAAAAACCATTAACATGCTTTATGAAGGCAAAGATGTTAACTATTTTACAATGAAGATATTACAATTCTGAAATCTTTACCAATCCTTAAAAGTCAAACTGTTACAGTTGCTACAGATCACAACACTACCAAAAAATAATTAAACTAGCAAACCTCCACTTTGCTGAACTACAGCTTAATGAAATCACACAAACATGCCAAAAGATTCCTTTGAGATACTAAGAACCTTGAAAAAGACTAATTAAAATCCCCTCACCATTAAGAACATGGAGTCGTATTTTGACTATTTTGCATCCAGTTTTTGAACATGGCATATATGAGACTGAACACTGTGCACTGGTGGTGAACAAAAAGCAGACAGTGAACCAATAAATTCCTGCTAAATCTTTTCTCAGCTTGTATGTGTACAAGTGGAATGATTTTCTCTGGAAGCTAATTCTTCTAGCTGTCAGTGTGCATGGATGTCGAACGACATCTAAGCACCCCAACTTGAATTGGTAGAGGAAAACCAAAGCTACAGTATGATCAACAATCCAGTATTTCCCCAAAGCTTTCCAAAATTCTTGGCTTCGCACTTTCTTCTTGGCTTCGCACTGAGGCTTCTTTGGCAAAAGCACAGCTGCAGTGCTGCACCCTGCAGCTCTGGTGAGCAAAAGCCCTGGAAGCTTTAAGCTGCTGGAGTGGTTTCAAAGCTGATGACTGTGGCTCCAAACAAGTCTCTGCAAACGGCTGCATGCTACACACTGGCAAATACTGGAGACTGGCAAACAGGGAGGGAAGTCATTGTGGCTTGTATCTGAAATAAACTCCAGCTTTTTAAAAACAACATTACTGAACAGGTGTGGAATTAATGAAATCCAGGTTTAATAAGAAACCCAAACCAAAACGAGATCTAAGATTTAAACCTACAGAGTTTCTTTGGGCACTAGAAAGCAGTCATCATGCCAGCCTCTCTACTTCAAACCCTGCACAGTGTGTCTGCATCGCCATTGTGGAGCACTTGGGCATTCTGCCATCAGGATGTTGAAAATGCAAAGACATACCAGTTCCCAAGCTACGTATCTTGTTACGAGTACAAAAAGCCAAAGCTTTCTAAGCACTTGACCCCTGGCATTCCCTTGTATAGTCATGTGAAACACTGAATTCTAACTACTGTTTACAAAACTGAAGACATAAGTAAAATGGTGCTGATTATGTGTTTCCCTCTGACAAGAACTTGTAGGCCACTTCAGAAAACAAAGAAGCCGTTTTCACAGAGGAAAACTGATCCATATAATAAACTATTATCATTGACTTTCCTTCAATGCTGCAGGTTGTCCCACTATGAAAAGGAAAGGATCAGTAAGACCTGGCAAAGAGGTCTTTGCTGGTTTCTAGCACCAAAGACATCCCATTTGACAGGCAGCATGTTGTCTGGAAGGGAAACAGGTTTGCAATGCCTTTAAAAAACAAGTCCAAGGAGAAAAGGCAAATAAAGTGAGAAGATACAGCCTGCAAGCAAAAGACATTGCTTCTAAAGCCCAGAAGGAAAAATAAAAGCAAAATTTTAGCTGCAGATAATCTCAATTTATCTAAACACATAAGTACAGTCTTGCAGTATTTTGCTTCATCAACTTACTTAGGAGAAAAGCCTAACAGTTTATAGTTTATAAAATATTTATTGCATGTTTTAAAAGCAGTTAATTATTTTGTTGCTGATCTGTTCAGAGATGTCCACGATACGGTGGGCTGCTAGCCAAAGTACAAGCAGCACTGTCTTGAGTATCCAAATCTTCCTGACGCATCAGTCAAAAACAGAGAACCAGCTTTTTTGTAAGTGCAACAGTTACTTCTTTAATAGCAAAGTTCTAGCCCAGAAATGGTTGCAGCAGCGGCTGATGAAGCAGTTACACATGCACATCTTATAATACCAAAGCGCTTATAGATTTGTAAAAAGGTGCTAATCCACAAAATAAATAAATAAATAGACATGCAGTGTTCATGATTCTGCAAGGGGGCAAACCCTCTCTCTGGACTGTGCATACATTAGCAAAACTGCATTACACATTTCAGAGGAAAGTGGCATAGCCGAGGCAGGATCTACCACATTAGTTGGGCACGTACAAGCTGTTTGAACCTCATGGAAGGGCCTGAAGCAGAAAGCTAAGAGTATAACAAATATATAATACCTTCGATGTGTAATTGCAGTAGAGTTCCTTACCTGGCATGCAGCCACAAAGGCTGCCTGCACATTTGAGGAACTAGGTGGCAAACAGCAAGCAAGCTGTTTTCCGTACCTTCCTGATGAGGTTTTATTGTCTCATTTTAGTAGTCTAGAAACTTGGATTTAGAGACTTGCTCTCTAAGTCTGCCCCACTGATTTTACACCAAAAATTAACTAGTCACAGCTGTGGCTCTTCGTTGCCTTCATGAGAAAAACTAAAATTGTTCCAGTCTCAGATGATACTGCGGCAGTGAGGTCCCAAAAAATCTTTATGATGGCAAATTTGAAAAAGTAGAAGAATGCCAGTAAAATTGTTTCACCTTCCTAGCAGAACAACTGCCAACACAGTCTGTTCCTCCAAGAGTCTCTTAAACGATAGCATTATTTCAAATTTAACTAGAGGAAACTTCGTACAGGACATGTCCCCTAGTCTTCCTGTCTTTGTAACTTCCTCTCTTCACAGAGCCCAAAACTACTAGGAGCCAGAAATGCTGCACCAATTACATCTGGGAACAAATTCACTGAATAAATGTGGCACAAGGCAGGATAGACACTGCAGCTAACCGCCTCAAGCAGAGAAGTCACCTGCACTTTCAGGTATGGGGAGAGAAAATTAACAGTTTACAGTTTAAATGTAAATGTAATAAAAAACTACTTGTTTATTTACAAAAACATCAGGCTACTTGTGAGTTTTCCCAGTTACTTTTCCACTGCACAGTAATATCCGAAGCAGTCTTATCCCCAAAGGTTTGTCAAGCACAGATTATTTGGTCTTCCACATGCACCATGGGTCTGATTGTACCTTGTACACATTGGTGTAATGTACAAGGCAGCTCACCCAGTCACAGGCTCAGTCCAGCTTTTCCCATTTCAGTGCCACATGAATTATTAGCTATCACAGCAGTAGGTATAAAGGCACTTCTTGAAGAGGTTTTTTTAAAAATTTCATTTGCATGAACTGTTTGGAATATAGGGACTGGGCATTTGAATCCTTGACCCGAGCTGAGGATTTTATTAAGTAGTTGCACATGGAACTTCACAGTACAGATTTTACAGCAAACACTAAGGCTGTAACATTTGCCTGGCCAGCAGGAAGTCTTGCCTTGATGAGGAACTAGAGGCTTTGCACACCCAGGTGCACTAGTTACCAATTACTTAGAAAGGCCTGGGAGTCCACTGCTGGATCTGGGGACAACATGGACACACAGGCCCTCAAAATTATTTTTGAGGTTTTTTTCTCTCAACATTTGCTCAGTAGCAGACAAAACTGTAATCAGACATTGCCCCATTCCCACCCTATGTATACCTGCAGATTTAGATGCTTAAGGTCAATAGTTGGTAGACATTAAGGAGGAAGGAGAAGCTCAGCGAGGTGAGTGCTATGTAAGAAGGGACTCATGCCTCACTGCAGACTTTCTTTTAATGGCCTTGTTTCCTCTGTGCAAAACCTATCTCCTTAAAGACAAACTATAGAAAAAAGAGCACAAGAAGGTGCAGAAAGTCCTTATGTAGGTACTGTGTAAAATAAGCATTTTCATAAACAATTAAGAAATTAGGAATACTCATTGGCCCAGATATGTATTAAGACCCTCCATATTTGTGTCTGGGATGCAGGCTATCAGAATGGGAGAACACTTACCATTCCCTGCCTTATAGTGCATGCCTTCTTCTGTAAAGCTCCTTGCCCTGATTGTTCTGTTACAAAAAACATGTCTACTTTAGGGAAAAAAAAAAAAAAGTCAGTTTCTCATAGTACAACAGATATTGCACTATGAAGCAAATCCTGGGAGCCTCTAGGGACCAGCCAAGGCAGGAGAAAGAGAAGAGGAGCCTGGACTATCTGAATTGTAGCACAGAACTCCAGCACTGGATCAAGACTGTTTATCAGAATAGCTGCTATGAGGTAGGTGGGACAACTGTTAGTCGTCACTGCACAGCCCATAAGCTCCTATCTTAGATATGGAACAGATAAAAGCTTCTAGACTGAAAATGCTTTAACAAAGGCCTTTTTCTGCTGCAGAAGGATCTCCATAGCAAGACTCCAAATGCAGGTAGATATATACTGACAGGTCTCCAATCTAGCAGAGCTCTTGGCTGGATCAGAATCTCTCAGTAAAAGCAAAGGGAAAGAGAAAAACCTGCCTCCCTCTTCAGAGTTATTTGTTGCTTTTCTGACTAATGTCAAAGCCAAGATTCAACTGGTTTTTTTTAACTATTGGTGCAAAGAATGAGAAGAGCACTGAGACAGTCACTGCTGGACAAAATCCTTCTCTTAAATCTCTTGACAGATGTATTTTGAGACTCTAATCACAGGGGTAGGCGGTACAAGTATAAAGGACTGCAGACCTGTAAATTTTGTTTCAGATAACAGTGCACAGGGTGGGGAAGATCGCACCCCTGGAAAGCTCCAAGCAGAAGAGAAGACCTGAGATACCATAGCAAAAAGGCAGCCAAAAAATGGTAATGAAAACAAGAGCAGAACTGAAATCCATTATATTGAGATTACTCATCAGCTGTATATTAGCCATCAGGTATCGCAACAGAACAACTAAGGCATGCAAATCTTTTTGCCACCTCATAGGCCCCTTTTCTTTGTTTTGCAGAAAGCATTGGGTGAAGATTTAAGGCTCAATCATATTTGAAAAAAAAAAGAAAAGCTGGTAAGTTGGTTGATTTTGTTTATATGCGGCATACTTCACATTGTATGTGTGTGTATATATATAGAGAGAGAGAAGACAGAATCTCTGGGACTAGTAAAAGTCATAAATTCATCCAACCTGAATGTAGATAACTATGTGAGTTCAAACTTACCCAGCGTTTAGGGCATTTGAGCTGTTGTTCTACCACCAAATCATCTGCTCAGAGCAAAAAAAGGTGACAAGGTAGGGTTTAATATTGTCAAGCCATTTGTACAAGGCAGTTCCTTGTTATATTTGTGATTTTGTTTTTATGATTGCTTACTCATATTCCACTGCTTGGAATAGGAGTTCTCCAAAAGAAGTTTTGTCTCCGCTAAAATATTGGTTGGCTAACTCCCATCCCAACAGTGAAACTAATATCAACAGAGAAGTATAAAACTATAGCAGTTAGAAAAATTACTTTCCAACCAACACACAGGCAGAAAAGGAAGATGATACACTATCGTCCTTTTCCAACCATAAATGCATTTAAAGTATTATAAAATTAGTCATGGAAACAGAACTGAAGATCCTGGGAGATCTTTAGACACAAGCTGAAACAGCAGGGTAGAAAAGTAAGTGAGCACCCCACTTTTAAATTCAACAGCAACTGACAAGTGCTCCTGTAATTAGCATTTTCTCAACAGCAAACATTGTGAATGAAGAATGTACCATATCTTAAATCCCCATGCAGTACACTCAACTTTTAAATGATCTGGCAAAGCAAATTTGGGCAAAATGAGAATCTGTGTGTAGGACTCCCCTTCAGTTAATAACTGGACTAGATCTAAATTGCATATAATATCCAGGTGCCTTTTAAAGTTATAATAGAATAAATACTATCATTGGTAGATTCCTTTCTCAATCTAGGTGTACAATAACTTAAAATATTTAATATGTAGATAATTTTTAGTAGATGCTTTGGCAATCAAATTCTTATATATTCTCTTACTTCTAATGAAGTATTTAGATAATGTTTTTGGAAAAAAAAAATCTGCATACTACTTACAGGAATTATATGCTTTACAAAACAGCATTCCAAATCATCACTGCAAACTGTAAGAGACTTAGTTAATGAAAAAGTATAAAAAGGAACGCATATTTGCTAGAAGATACCCAACATTTACAGGAAGAAAGAAGATACATCTGCACCATGATTTTTTCTTTTCTTGTCTACGAAGCCAGAGAAAAATTGTCAGTTATTTGAAAAGCATTTCACTTATTCCAGTTCGTACAAGAACTGTGTTTCCTGCATACCACATGAACATTATAAAGTTCTGGAACAGATTTGTTCCCTTAGGCAATGCTTATTCATGATAATAAAAAAGGTAAAAAACGTCTTCAATCATTTGTTTAGTCTGACTGAAAAGATACTAGCTGGTACATTATGGTAAGTGGGATAGGTGTTTCCTCATTCAAAAAACACACAGACACAAAAAAACCCCACACTAAAACCCCAAATAAACACGCAAACAAAACAAACAAACAAACAAAAACAAACAGAGGAAAACTTAGAATAACTTTTGGACTGTTCACACTGAGAACTCTCTGGTTGGGCAACAGAGTGGAGCAATAAGAGTCCATAAGTACAGACAGACACAAACCCAACAGGAGACCATCTTAATCCAGAAGATGGACCAGGTTCCACTGAAGAATTTTTCAATCTGAGCACTTTCATAACTGTTAAAGAGGAAAAAAAAAAAAAAGCAATAAACTATTCATATCTCAGACTGCAGTATCCTCTACTTTTCCAAGTGAGTCAGAGATATTAAAGAGGTTAACTCATACAGGAAGCAAGGGAAAGCACCCTTTATAGAACAAGATCTTGCTCAAGAATGCCCAGGAATGACTTGTGATGTCTCTTCAAGTTTCTAACATAAGCAGAGAAAAGACCCTAATAGCAGATCTTCCTGTTCACATATTCTTTCTCAACACAGAGAGACGGTAATTACTCAATTTTAAAGAAATACACTTACTGGAACCAATGAGTTACTGTCATCATCACATAGAGCGAAGCCAGGAAGAAAACAAAGTGGAAGTAGGCATAACTGTACACAGTGCCTTTCTTCTCATCATAAACCACAGTCTGGCCTCCCCTTTTTTCAATGTGATCTTCAGCATCAGCTGCAAGAGACAGGAAACAAGAAAGTTTTTGCAAATGTAATGAGTACTGAAAACAGCAGCTGGCTTCACTGAGAACACAAATCTACAGTGTGATTTAGGAAAGCATGACTGATACAGATCCTACACTTGAACATATCCTTGCCCTCAGGTTATGGGCCTAAACCCTTAGTGAAAAACTGGACTAATACTGAAATCCTGCCATATAGCAGCTTCCTGGCCTACTGAGGAGTTTTTGCGCATTGGGACCATTTAAATTGCTCTACCTGTATGATATTTTTCTGGCAAGTCCATGCTGATAACCTTGATTGTACCAGGTCTGCAAAAAAGACACTCCCTTCTTATCTCACTCCTGAACTGCAGTCCCCTCAGAGATGCTAAACCAAAAATCTAGCAACCAGTCACTCCCACAGGCATGCAAAGAACAGAGACTATTCTTTGTATGTTGCAGTTTAAAGAATTAATAACTAGCCTAGTATTTTTAAAATGCTGTTGTGACATCTCTAGTTTCCCTCTGTAGCCTAACTTTGAGCAATTCATCTGCTTCAGTTTGATATACTACAGAATGAGGATATGAGCAGCTCTCTATCCACAGCTGTGTTCTTACTTTCTTAGCTTCGGCCTGAAAGCCACAAATAAGTTAAATTTTGCAGTGAAAACAAAATTACCGTCTCCATCAGGTACACAGCAAAAGCAGCAACGAGCTACCTGTGGAACAGACAACAGGAAGAGGGTAAGAATCTGTGCTACAGCAAAGCAGAACAGTTGGGGAAGGAAGGTCTGTTGTGTCTATCTACAAACATTAATTTAGAAAAGTCTGGTTTGTATTTCCAACCAGCACAAAACCCAAATTAGGATTTAGCCAACAGTTCATAACAACAGTTTCTAAGCTTCAGAAAAACATACTCAATAAATTTGAAGAAATGAGACATTCTTTAAGAATTACTCCATCTTTTTTACATAACTTTGGGTCCAATGCAGGAGCAAATAATCACAACAAAATGGTAGAAAAGCTATGGTGAAGTACATTTGTATTTAGGGGACTTACCTCTTCAGATCTGCATACAAGTTCCTTTTAGGAAATTTCTGTACTAAGATGAAAGTGTAAGGAACTTTTAAATGCCATCAGAGACTGAAATGATTAATGATTTACGCATTCTAGGATAGCCAGGGGATTTCTGCAGGCTGGAAGAGGCAGCTGTTGGCCTATCAAAGCCCATCTCCCTACGAATCCTGAAAGGCGGGAGAAACCCTTTTGCCATGTCCCTCACAGGAACTCTGCACAGGCCCAGGAGATGCTGGAGGCTCATGGCATGGCCTGTGACACTATCCATGGATATAATAACTCATAACTTCTTTGAGCGTGTGGGCTTCCCTCCCCTAGCCCCAACGGATCAGGACCACCACTTCAACTGACAGACATGGAAGCTGCAACTACCAAGTTATATCGCTGGACCTCGTGGGCAGTGACTATATAAATTTTTCCATTCTCACCTTTTTTTTCCCCTACTCTCCCTTACCTTTATCCTGTTTTTTCCTTTCTCTCCCTTATGCATTTCCTCTTAAGGTCATCTTCATACCATATTGCTATAAATGATAGATATAGATGATAACACCCAAAATAGCAACATACCTGTTTACCTTTGAAACAAAATTGTTCTAAAATAAACCCTACATATATATGTTTTCAAACACATTCAGTGTTGTTTCACTCTAATCCACGCCAAGGGATTTATTAATAAGAACCTGGGTTACCCCATCCCCCCTTTTCTGGTGCAGGTCAGAACAGATGCATGGGTTAGCAATTACAACTGCAGAAGTATAAGTCAGAAATGTACTTATCTTTGCAAGACTGCTGAAGTGGAGCCAGAATGAGCACAAGCAGAATGAATCAAAGAAGGAAGTTGATTTTTCTGTTTATTTAAATGAAGATGAAGATTTCCTTTTTTTTTTTTTTTTTTTAACTGATGGAAAAAGGAAAGCTGAAATCGACACTTTCTGTGTTGAATGGTAATGTAAATGAAGAAAAGGTCTTGACCATCTAATAAATATATAAGTATTTTCTGCACCAGACCACAGTACAAGCCAGCACTTCCTGTCATGCATCACCAGTATTATTTGCTCTCATAAAATCCTTCTCTGGGATTTATTTTGCTTGTGGTCTGATTAGGACAATGAACCTGTTCGGGAAATTCACTTCCCTAACTATTATACCAATCAGTTTTTATAGTAAGAAAGTGTATTAACTTTGTTTACTTATATTAGTTCACATTATACAGTGCAATGTAGTGAGGTACTGGAATTTTACTGGAGACTTTAGTATTGTTCATGCTTAAGTTAAACAAACCAAAGAACAGCCTAGCCTCAGAAATAAGGACTTTGCTTCTTGGAAACTTACAGCTGTCCATGAAGGATAAAAGATACCCCTGAACAGCAAAGATAAGGCCACAATCCTAGCCTGTCTAAAACATCTTTGAAACCATACCAGCATCATAGGTAGTAACTATCTCAAGGCTGACTTCAAGGATGTCTAAATCAACAGACAAGAGGCAAGAATGCTGCAGAAATACAGTTGCTTTGCAAAGTTTTACTATAATTAGATAATTATATTAGACAGTGTCTGTGCTAGTGATTAGTCAAATCATGCTGGACCTGAATGCTTGAAGGGTATAAGAACTCTGTGTAAAACCATGTTTGGGGTGCCCCAAGTTGGTTGGAATACCTCACATGCATGCATGAATATTTTCCCTTGCTATTCTAAAGTTTGTGTTCTAATTTCCCTCATTTGTCAAATGGGCCTGTTGCATGTTTTTCCAGAAAGCAGATGGTGGGTCTTTAAGGTAAATTGTCCAGCAGAAATATCAAGTGGCAGTTTTTACCCTGCATATCCCTGACTGCCTGCACTCGCTGGGTTCATAATTCATGAGAAGCCAAAAAGTTCATTCTTTTTCAAGAGACTGAGAGTTTAAGTAAACCCCTTATTCTGTATCTTTTTCTACTCCATGCCAAGCCTCACCTACACTGCCAACCTGAGCTACCCTGGGGCTGCACTCACATTCTGCAGCAAGCACTGGGTTCCCTCAAACATTTTAATCAATTGCAATTAAGTCCTGGCACAGATAGAGTGATGAAATTAGCAATGCTGGCACACACAACCCAGCCCCTTATACACGCTCAGCTGCTTCCAGCACAGACACTGACAGACCATCTGTGCAACAGCAACAACTGCAGAGCTGTGTTCACTCTGGGCTGACAGACAAAACCTTTTGCCACAGGGAAGGCAATCAGAGTGCAATTAGTTACTCTTCATCTGTCATTTCTTTACATTTACATTCAGTGGCTCTTGTCTGGCTCTTTAATATGCAACAGCCTGGAACTAATCCTGTGGGCAAGTACTGCGGCAGATGAGATGGACCTTCCCAGTGAGGGGCCACATCCCACATCCATGCTATGCCAGAGGCCCTCAGCCTTCCCACTGCTCCTTCCACAGGGAGCAGACTCACACCCCCTGGACAAGACCTCTTACAGTGTACGGTGGGCAAAGGAGGTGCAGGGGTGTGAATGGCATCTGTTTGCTCTCCGGTGCTCCCGGTGCCATCCCTCAGCACTGGGCAGGATGGCACAGCTCCTGTCTGGACTTACCTGAGACAGACTGAGCCAGGTCTCTGTGCTCAGTGCCCAGCCAGTTGGCAGGCTGCCCTCCTGCGAGGCCTGTGGCTGGTACCAGCACCCTGTCCAGCTGCAGCATCCTGCCAAAGCAAAGCTCCCTAGGCACCGTGTAACACTCCCACAGTGAAATGTGTTTTGCTTCCCTGTGCCCAGCTACTTCAAACACCAAGTGCCTCAGCAGATACTTCTGCATTTTTGAATTCTCACTAACACTCTCATTAAAGACTTGGAAAAAAAAGAAGTTAAAACTACAGAATGAAAGTAACACCAATGCAGAGAGAGTTAGGGAGGGAGATTCATCTTCCAAACACACACATACATTTGAAGAGTGACACTTCTAAGCCTAAGTAAAGGGTAACTGTTACATAGCAAAATCCCACTCATTTTCTAGTGTTTTTTGGGTGTTCTCAGGATGATGAGGCCAAACAAACAGGCACATGGAATGAAGAGACCTGTATAGCTGAAACAGGGGTGAGAAATGTCATCATAGATGAAGTTATAGGCAAAAAGAAAGGAAGTACTTATGTGAGGAAATAAAAATGAGATAAAAAGTTGGGATCATAATCACTTGGTATGAGAACAAAGGCAATCAGGACTGAAAACGTTCAAGCATGCCTCCACTTTTTTTTCTGATAGCTTTCTAGCACTTTTCCTTTAAATGAGAGGACATGAGCTCATGGAGAGCACAAAATTTACTGGAAGTCCATAGGATGTTGAATAAACTTCAAGAGCAGCAAATTATTTCAGTACATAAAGGCACCTCCACCAAACCAGCAAGAGCTACAGAAGGGCCAATGCACAGAGGCATGTAGGACAAACAAGCTTCTGTTTACACCTAATTACAGGCCATGAAAACAACAAGAAAAGCAGAGGACAAAGTCTGCACAGAAATCCTGTGGGAAGAAGCAAAAACTCACTTCAGTTTCAGCTGTTGCATATATTCCTCTCAGTGCCTCTGAGCTTGATCGTGTTGTTGAGGTCAAACTAGGAGGAAAAGAAGGTAGTGTCAAACTCCTGGGCATAACTCTAACCCCAACAGGGTCACTTTTCAACATCACAGCAAACATAAATAGCCTACTCCCATGTCTAAGCTAAGCATTTGCCTGGATGCTATCATAAAGCACTAAGAACATAAAAAGTTCTTTCTGCACTGGTACAAACCAACCTGGCAGATGGCCACTGGCCGACTTACTCTGCATCATGAGTTTAAAATTAGGTCACTCCTAAAAGGTGGTGAGTTCATCACCAGACAGCAGCAAACATCCTAACACTCCAATTTGCAAGTCAGAAGAGATCTCCCCTGCTGTGCACAACCAATGCTTTTATACTCAGTTCACAGCCATCATTTTGGCTCAACATTTCTGTAAAGGTTTTTCCAGCAAACTCACAGGTCTCTGGCAGCAGTCAGTTTTCAAAAGTAAATTACCAGTAACTGTTGTCAGTGTACCAGTTCCTGGAAATCAGTTTCTCGCATGACTGTAGCTGTCCGAGGGGAATCCTTTTTATTTTCATTTGATAGGAAACATTTCTTACAGTTTTGACCTTTTAGGATGTGTAATGCTTTGCTGTACAAGCCTTGGTAAGCAATGCTTCAAAAACACTCCCCTTGAACGCCTTCTTATTTCCCCAGCTGCACAGTACACTTCCCTAGGCAGGCTACATGAATATTGTCTGCATTCTTGAAACACCTCCCTGAGACACTGGAAATGCTCTTCTACCACAAACTAGATCCATGGTACATGATATCCATTTATTTTATATCAGAGAAAAAAGAAGACATATGCGTATTTGATAACAGAAGAGTAAGTCTCTTGTTTTCACTTCAAAATTATGAAGGATTTCAGTATGTGAATTTTGAAGTGGACTGATTCAGAAGTAGAATTTGCTCAAAAACCTGCAGCAGACAGGCAGCGCTGTCTCCTGGCAAGTTGCACAGCCAGAACAGAAGATACATCACCTTTCAGTCATCAGCAACTTCCCATCCTAGAGCATGACTTAATTTACTGATGTGAGCTGCAATAAGACAAGGTGAGCATCAAAGATACATGGGCACGAAGACAGGTTTTCTTAGAGTAGATCTCTGGCAAATCGTGACAGCAATACTGTGCTCATCACTCATCCAAGGAAGCCCTAAACCCTTCCAAACAGTTTGTTTGTTTCAAAAACCCCCAAGGACAATCATAGCCTCTGCAAAGAGGCTACAAAAATTTCATGTAGATTTTTTAGGTGGACATAACTGCATAGAGCTTTTCTTAAGAAAGAGTAAATAGAGGATCAAAGAACCCTGGGCTGAAGGACAGGTGGAAATTTTTTCCCTCCACTTCTATATGTAAACTGCTCTATTTGATTTTAAAGAGATATATTTGTTTCAGAAGTTGTTATCTTGTAGAACATTTTTAACTAAAACATTTATAATTGGGAAACTGAGGAGAATACGAACTCCTCAGCTCAGCTCTATTCTATATCTCTCTGTGATTTTGCATGAGCTCTGCTATAAGCCTTTACTGTTTGGACCACAACACTGTATTTACAGCGAGGTAACTGCAAACCCCCAGACTTACCAAGAATATAAAATGCAGCCAAACAAAATCGTGGTACCCAAGCCAGTAACCAGGTTTTCATCTCTATGTAGACCTTGACTGAATTCAGGTACACAGATTGTGATATTCCGATTGTTTTCATCCAGGACTTCACAAAGCAGATCAAACAGAAAGAACAGTTTGCAAAGATCATTTCACTGCATTTCAAAGTAATATTCAAACTGGCAGTTTTCAATAAAATACTTTTATTACTTCAGACACTGGGTAGGTACATTTCAGCTGTTTCTACCTATCTTTTAAAAAAGATCATACAGAAAAAAAATCTGTAAAGCTGATCTGGTAGACTGTGTTTCAGGCAAAACACAAATGCAACTTACTAGGGTACTAAAATTCTCTATTTGACTACAGCAGACTAAAACCGAAAAAATCCATTTTGTGAAGTTAGAAATTAAAAATTGGAAGTCTGCCCACACTCCACAGCCATATAAGATCAAGATAGTGCAGACCTGAGACCAGAAATTTCTTTGACAGAAAGGGTGCCTTGAGGACAACAATGAAATTCACACACAGTGAAAAAAGGTAGTCAGTAGTAGCCCTATTCTCAGAGGGATATACAGAAGACCAAGGGAAAAAAGGTGCACCAGCAATATCTTGTCTCGGCATCTAATCAAATCCTACTTCTAAGTCTCTGAAATGAAGCCAATTCAGTCCTTGATGTTCCCAGTTGCATCTGGCATTTTGATATCTTCCTGGAATCAAGGCAAGGCAGAGAGTAGCCTGCAGCATCATCCCAAAGCAAGAGATTACAGCTTCACTTTATCTCAAATCGAGAGCTTTTTGAGTCAATGCTGCTTAAGGTATCTCCTTCTACTTTCCAGCAGCCACAATGCATTCCTATTGAGACAGCACAACTGTTGGTAGGGGCAGAGGAAAAAATGCAGCAAAGGCTACATCCAGGTTAAAAATAAACTCAGTCAGTTCCCTGACCTGGTGGAGGAGGATTTTTGCATGGCCCTGCAGTGCTGCACAGACAGCTTTATCAGGACATAGAGGGGACAGTGTGGAGGTGAGAGCAAAAAAAGAGGATGATCAGCCTGTATGGAATACCTTGGCCAGAGACGTGCAGATTCCCCCACCCGTATCCATCAGGGACACATCTGCAGCAAGGTCCACTGTTTGGCCAGCATTTTAGTGAAGTCTGGCACCAAAAAGCTAAGGCACATTATAATAAGCACAGATTCAAGAGACATAACTTTTTGTTTGCCTGTTCTTTCTAAAGATATTTGCAACTCTCTTTGGGTGATGCAAATACTTGCAACCTGCATTTTCTTCAGGCCTTGTATGCAAGGTGTCCAGTTTGAAAGACGGACAGTTTGGAAATCCCTCCTTGACAAATGAGGGTAATGCCTTAACATAGGTAAGTTAATGGCAAACCTGAGTGACAGGGCATGGGACACCACAGAAAGTACCAGCACCCCATACATTCTCTAGCACGTCACTGTAAAAGCTGACAGGCCAGTATGGAGAGTCCTATCACACAGACAAGGGAGGATGGAGCATCTCTGACAGCAGATGACAACCATGAAAATTATCGGTCATGGGAACACAAGGAGGAGCATCTGATTCAAGGAGGTCTAAGAGAGAGTGCATGATGCATATTCTGACAAATGCAATAACCACACTTGCAACACATACAAGAAGAATCAGAGCATTCGTTTAACCTCTTAAGTCTTTGTCAGAAGCACGAAACAACACAAGGCAAATGATTTCTTTCCATACATACTTTCTTCCCCTTCTTTTTCTTTTTACGCTGTGTCAGGAGTAATTGAAACACCTTCTAAATTCCACTCTATATTCATTCAAAGCACTGCTTTAGCTCTTTAAGTAAATATTACTCCTGAATACTGTCTGTTTTTCCCTTTTAAGTCTAGAATACTTTTGTGTGTGTGTGTACCTATACAAGTGTGACAGAGATATTTTTTCCCATGTCTCTCCCCTTTCTTCTTGGGAAGTGTCTGTATAAACTTTTGCTTCCTGCCAGTTGATTTATTTTCCTCTAGTTACTGTTGTTTCAGCTATTCAAGACTTACAGTTGAACAATATTAAAAAAGGATGTTTTAGCACTAATTCAAGCCAGAAAAGCCTTCTTTAAGTGAAAAGAAGGCTTCCAGTCCAAATATGTGAAGCTGATAGTTATCTGGGTAAAACAAAGTTTAAGTTGTGCTTGTGAAGTCTTGCTGGGGTTTCATAGTGTAAAGACCTTCAAATTCTAGTGAGTTCCATACTCCTGACCTGGAATGCCAATTGGTAGAAGACAAGTGGAGTTCGGGAAATCTGCTGAAGAACAGCATCATCTCTACTGCAACATAACTCCAAGTCCTTTCTTGGAATGTTTCCTCTCAAAACAAAATATGAGTGCTACTCAAGTTTTTTCTCCATTAGGAATCCAGTGCTAAGGCTCTCTAGCACACTTTAGCACACTTTTTCTAGAGGAAAAAAAGTCGTTTTAGTATATCCACTCTGATGGACAGCACCTACTAACTAGACCTAGTAAACTTTCAGATGAAGCTGATCACCCAGCTTATTGCAGAGGCATCCAAGAGCCATTTGTTCCAACTCCTTTTCCATCACGAGACCAAACACATTACATGTTTAGTCATATCCTATTTGTATGGGAATGTGCACTTGATGTAGGAGGAATAGATTACAAGGCTATGGGAAATTTTTTCATAGGAAACAGATTGAAATTGCTCTGATGCAACAGATGCAACTCATGAAAGGTAAGTTAAGCTCCCCTAGACCAAACCATTGAAGGTATATGGAGAGTGCCAATTGCACAGTCTCTCTACTGCATAGATATGTTTGTAATATTTGCAATTTCTTCTGTGAAGGCCAGAACAGATCAACACATCTATATCCCAGTACTTCTATATCCCCAAATTTGTTATTTCAGGTTTGCTAAATTCTTGCTTTTAGTACACGGCATGTCTAAAAGAATTTATATAAAGTATCAGATAACTTACTAGTTTCTGGTGGCTTGCTGGATAGTGCTGAGAAAGTGAGGTACATGACATAACAGCTGATAACTCCTGACTGCAGCAAACCAGAATGGGGCTGACCTTCACAAGAAAAAGGAAAAAAAGTTATTTTTGTAGACAGTTTAACAAAGTGAAAAAGATATTAGTATCCTTCAAAGAACAGCATGACAGTATCTTTTATTTTTACTTAGAGCAGAAAACAAGGGTTTGAAGCAGTTTGGATACAGTTCCACTGGCCTGCCAAGAGAAAAAAGCCAGCTCTGATGGCATTTTTAGAAAGTCATTAGAGATTCCCATGTAAGTAAAGAATCTCCCCTCTGCTTTCGCCAAAAGCATCCGCTTTTCAAAAGCTATTGACCAGCTGCCACAATAATTTTATTTGCCTGTAAAATCTGTGTTGGAGTCACTTTACCATTTTCAGGTCCAATGTATGCAAGATACCAACAGCATACATAAAATACACCAAAATATGAAATATTGCTGTCAGCTCCTCCAGGCCCAAACTTTACAAACTACACAAGTAGTCAAAAGTAAATGGTAAAATAGGGTGAATGAGTTAGACAACTTCAACTGCTAGCACTGCAAGACTTAGGTAAGTTTCACAACACAATACCAGCCATCAGATCACGAGCCTTTTTTACAGGATGACTACCTGATGGCACACCCAAAGTGTCTCACACCTCTATAGTTTTAGCAGTACAGATGATGACCAGCAACAGCACTTCATAATGTAGATAAAGAGTCAAGAGCAGCACCAGTTCTGAATTATCATTAGACTTCCTGCCCAGACATGGCTCATGCCTGCAGGCACACAGTTGGAACAATACCCGACATCCAGGAGGAGAAGAGGTCAGTGGACTCACGATTCTGGACACAGGGCGATATGGCCACCAGCGACACAAAGAGGCACAGGCCCCCATTAACTCCAATCAGGACCTTGTTGTACATGCAGCCGTCTGAGCGAGTGTAGAAGAGAGCCATGAGGACCAGGGCTGCCACAGCAACGGAGTATAAGATGAGAGTGACCAAGGCAAGCAAACCATTCCACACTTGTTTGTGGTTTGCACCTGCAGTCCTGGGGAGAGAGAAACAAGCACCTTATCTTTGTCTTTCCTTCCTCAAAACATAAAATTCTAATAGCTGAATAGTTCATATCCTCAAACACGAAAAACAGTGTTTGCTTTCCTGAAGCACGTGTGCTTACTACACTAACACAGACCCTTGCCAGGTTCCTCCCATGAAACAGAGGGAAACATTGCTTAGCATCCATGTTTATCTTCTGTAGAATCATGCTCAGCCCTTTCTGTAATTATAGCTCAGCACTGACTCCCGTAACTCCCAGTCTCTGCAATCAGCCCATCTCAGCTCAGTACTTCAGGGATATCCTCAGTGGCAACTTGGAATGTCCCAGGCTCAACAAGCCAGTGGTGGTCTCCACACAAAGAGAGCAGAGCCATACTGCTTAGCATGGCCTCTCTTCTGCACTCTCATCTTGCAAAGATCACCAGGGTTTCAAAGTAGCAACTACAAGAGTTGTTTTGACATGATGGGCTTTTTGGTGTGTGGAAAGTCGTTTTAGTTTGTTGGTTTGTTTTGTGTCTTTTTCCTGGTGTTTTGTTGAAACATGACTTATTTTAAAAGAATATTTAATGTAGGGAGAGCTAAAGCTAAATGCTACCAAAAATCTTTCATCCACAAGAAGCAGCTACAGTTATTAGCACTAAAAATATCTGTGGTATAAGGAGCTCTCACCTCTACCTCCCCAAAATGAATCTAACAAAGCCCAAAGATCTGCTAAAACTCTTTCTTTGCAGTTGGTAACTTAACTAGAACAAGAGAGGATTGCAAAAGTTTGTATAGGAAGAAATGCGAGACAGAAAGGTGAAGGCAGGAGTCCCTGCATATATGTGGGAGGCCAATTTAAGTATATTAAATTGATGAGAGGTTAAGGGCTTGGAAGGTTATAGTAAATATACTTAAATCAGAAATCAGGTCAGTGCCCAAATGGGGTATATGTGAGTTGGTAATGGAATCTTGCCCATTTAGATGACAGGAAAGAAGATGAAGAGAAAGTTGCAGTTCTCATGCTGAGAAAAAAAAAATAATGTGCATTAAGCTGACACAAGAAAGCAGAATTTATCAGCTTACATCATTGCACAGACTTTCACTACTACATTTGGCAAATCCAGTTTTACTCCACTTCTTAGTAGGTGTATTTTCATATAAAATATAAACAAACTTTCCAACTGAGGAGTTCTGCATCCCAACACACTTACTGGAAGCCAAGCAATTGAGGTAAAGAATAAATCAGCAGAGTAGAAGTGAATAACAAGGAAACATTTCCTCCGGTAGAGGAGAAAGTAAATGAATATTGACATGAAAATGTCTTCTTCCAAAAGTTACATCCATGATACTGTTATACTCTTTGTTACGAGAAAAGTATTGGTCAGGAGTGCACCAGAAGTTTAAGCATATAACTTGCCCAACACATACCAATTTTTATTCCATTTGTGTGCGAACTCAACCAGCAGGATGAGCTGAATGACAATGAAAAGGCACCCTCCTGTTGCTCCTACGTAGCGCCAGGCTGCAAGGCAGAGAGGCAGAAAATAGGTCAAACTGCAGTAGCCTTTCCTTTGAGATAAAATGGAATTATTGCCAATGCAGGGAAGCTGTTAATGCGGTTTGAATATCTCAAGCCCACAGATGTAGCAGGAGATAAGAGATTTCTGATGAAAGGCCAGCTCACTTAACTCAAAATTAGCTCCCTGATGAATTCAGCTTGCAACCTGCTACACTTTCAACACAATCATATTAGGACATTTATTGAGTTTCCCTAACCTAGAGAATTTTTGTGGAGACCATGAGATACTATATTCAGACAGAAAATACTGAAACCTTTATTTGTGTGACTGGAGGAGGGAGGTGGTGTGAAGCCATTGCACAGGAATTTAAACCCTGAAATTGCAAGGTACTAGAACCCAGCAGTAAAAAGGGAAATTTCCAATCCAGATTACAGCACCATAGAAAAACAAAGGTGGAGTTCATGTACTTACAAATACTTTTCCAAGCCAATCCCAAAGAACACTTTGTATTCACTGACTAATTTTAAGACAGGTTATTTGCCTACTTAACTAGTGACCTACATAGACTGTATTTGGGTAGCTGTTTGGGTACTTTGAACAACAGATCTCTTATGTGCAACATAAGAAGCCTCTGGGGAAATACAGATACCTATTTTAATGTTAAGCTGCACATAGAGTTTGTGCTTCTGTGCAGTGCATAGCCTGCAGTTGATTTCAGAGAAGGAGGAAATGCATCAGCAAAATTCAGCCATATCCTTCTGAAAAAAGCTCGTATCAGTGAAGTGAAGATGAGAACAGTAAGGGCATGTTTCCATTAGCAGTTCACACTAAGATTATTTTTTCTTTCTGTATCACAAACTTATTATTTGAAAGCAAGCGAGCACGTTGTTTTTAAGCATATAATATAAAAAAATGGAAGAAGATAGCCTGTAAAAAAGTACATAAAAAATAGACAGAGCACCAAGTGCCATCTTTGTTTGGAAGAAGTAGAGTAGGAAAAGGCAGACTACCAACTGAATGAATAATTAAGTAGCCAGACTCTCAGGATATCCCACTGTCACAGGATATTGCAGGATGTTTTATGGGTCCATAACAGATAAGGTTAATATGGCCAGTGTAGAATTAACACTATAGCCCATACAAACCTAGTGCTTGCATGTAATATTCCTCCTCCATGATCAACAAACTAGTAAGCATGGGTAGCATGACAAGAGACATTTGGGTTTTTTTAAGAAAAAAATAAGCAATAAGGAAGAATGCCCCCTAAACAAACAAAACTGAACAAAACCAAATAAACAAAATCTCAAACTAAACAACAGTAAAAGTTTCTTGATAGGAGGGGAAAAAAAAAGAGAAAACAATGACATAAAATTCCCAACTCATCTGTAAATCTCAAATTCAGAGACTGACTAGAGGACAGTTTAGCAGGAAGTGACCTAGTATGGGGAATAAATCTTGTTATGCTGTATTTCCACACTAGGTTAGATTGCTGTTGAGAATCAGCACAAAAAGGAGAGGAATAGGGGCATCACTTCTGGGACATCAAACTGAGCCAGGAACACATAAACAGTAAGAGCAAGAAGCTGAATTATACCTGTCAGAGGTTCACTTGCAGTGGTTTTTACCTTTAGTTTCCAAGAGTACGGTTCTCATAGTATGTCTGCCCACTCTATTCTCTTCCTCCATATTACTCTTTCCTTTTAAACACCCTGGCTAAAGGAAACTGGTGTTCTGAACAACGTAACCAAGTCCTAGTGGAAGCAGGCATCATATGCAAACAATCCTTTGAATTGCTGATCACCTTTCCACCTGTCCAGACTCAACAGCTTATGGGCCTTCAAGTATCTCTCTCACATGAGAACAAATTCATCTCAGTAGCACCAGGATTTTTGCTCCTAGCCCACAAGACTCCAGTAAGAAGCTCTCCTCCCAGCTGGCATTTAAGTGCTGAGCTAGTACCAGCATGCTTGTGTGGTGCCAGGGTGCCTTCCAAAAGTGGAAATGCTTTTGACATGTCATTCTTTGCAGAGCACTCATACCATGGCCCAAGAAGTCTAATTTTATTTTACTGGATTTATTCCACCAGCCTGAAAACTAACAAAATCCCAAATTCTTTTGGTTTTCAGGCAGCAAACAGCACCTGGCAAGTCACTGTGGCCCCTTGAGCACTGGCACCTCCCCAGAGTACAGCATGAAGCCCAGCTCGAGTACTACACCAGAGCTACCTACCACTGCTACCTGCACTACCTGTGTCCTTGAGTGAACAATTTATTTAGCACCATTAGAGTTCCCTGTTTCTTAAAGAATTTGCAAGACAGCACTGCGGTGGTACTGTTACCCATCCATTTGGCCTGCTCTTGGTCAGAAAGAAACATGCTCTTTCCTGCACATTTCCATGAAGACATGTCTCTGCACACAGCATTCCCCCCAAAACAGTTCCGAATACTCTTTTTGCACCAGGCCCATACAGGCTTTACTTGAAGAAACATCGAGATACTCATGCTGATCAGAGCTCTAGGGTTTTTAACCACCCACAAGATAGCACAGATCAAAGCAGCGTAACAAAGTAAGGAGGACATACCATTGAGGAAAGTGTCCTGATCAGGAATGAAGAAGGCTCCTGAGCACATTGCTGCCAGAACTATAAGTTTAATAAGCCAAAATCTGGATCAGAGGAAAAGAAAAACAACGACAACAAAAAATCACATGTTTATAATAGGAATTGGAGGTCTTCAAATCAAGTACCACAAGAAATCTCTATTTAAAGCCCAACAAGAGGTAAAAAACCCCCTGATTACCACTTTAGTTTTCATGTGACTGCACTATTTCTGACTACAAATCAATTTTTGTAATTGAAGGGAGCTTTTTTGCTACCATGACATCCAAGTGGAAAGTTGGCACCACAGACCTCTAAAGAGATGTGAAAATTAAGCAATCAAACAAAAAAACTCACCCATTATGAATGTAGGCTCGGCAGCTTTTGCTGCTGTTAATTTTGATGGTGAATAAGAAGAATAAAAAGAAGAAACAGGCCATTCCAAAACAGACTTTGTACACTGCAGAGTATCCCACCAACTTCTCGCACATCTCACCCGCCTGAATACCCTTGCACATCTCCTTGTAGAAAGGAATCTGAAAAGCAGAACATATTATAAGCTGTTAGATAGGACACAAGGCCCTCATAAACAAGCATGTCTATGTGCATCATAGACTTTTCACTGGCTTCTAACACCTTTCACTCTTGACACCCTTTCAGCCTGTATTTAAGGGTTCAAGAGTCATAAGAAAATGTAAAACACAAGGGACTTAAATTTTCAGAACCTCCACTCCTTACAGATGCTTTGGGGTACAAGTCCACTTCAGCTCTGTTGGCTCAAGATATCCCTGTTACTTACTGTTTATCCCCTTCCCCTGGGGACCTTCTCCTTTCTTCTCATGCTTTATAGCAAAAGATTCTGATTGCTTCAGCAATTCAGCTTACATGAGACATACCAGTTGCTTGGGATGCCCTGGGTGGCAATGCAGACTGAAGCACATCCAAGCATCACCAACCCTACTCTCCATTACAGTCTCTGAAAGGCAGTTGTGCCAGTTGCCTTGATTTTGTTTAAAATTAACAGAAAGGCAAGAAAATTCCACCCTTCTCTTGACTCATTAAATATTTGCCTTTGAGGCCTTGCTCTCACCACAAGGGGAAAGCAAACAGCTGCACATTTTGGCTTCAGTTTCAGCATATGGACATGAGGCTGAGTGCTCAAAAAGTAGGTCTGTGTGGCCAGGACTCACTGGTGAGGCACCTCTGTGCAGAACCTCCCACCACAGCCAGAGAACCTTTCATGTTCACAGAAATACAGGCATTTAAAAACCACTGTCCATTCCAAAGAAAAAAGGGCCTCTGTATGCTTACAGCTTACAGCTGAAGCTGGTCAGACCAGTTGAGAAACGCACGAAACCCTCTGGAGCTGATTGGTGATACCTGTACAGGTAATTGGAGGAGAGAGAAGACAACACGTGGCAGGACACAACATGCACAAATAAATAACTTTGGCAAAGGAAACCTCTTCCTTCAGCAGGCGGGTCAGTACACAAAGCCAGGACAGTGAAAGAACAAACAGGGCTTGGGAGCAAGCCATCAAGCAGCATTCCCAGCTGGGTCAAAAGCCCTCTGAGATACAGGAAACAAGGGATAAACAAGTAAACTGCCAGCTTCCAGCCAACTGGGCTCTGAAACCCGGCCTCCTTCAGCAGGGTATGCAATTTCCATCCTAGTTCCAGGAAACAAACCAGTCAGGAGCTCTACAACCCTCTGTGTAGTTTCTCAAAGATAAATTATTTTAGCAGCTCACAGCAACACCGAGTTGCTGAGCTAAGGATAGGAAACCTAACTACAACAAAGAGCTGATCCCAGGTGAGACAGAACAGCTGAGGAGATGAAAAGCAGGTCTGAACACAGCTGCATGGTATTACAAGAATGGATTCAAGCTGGGCCACTGTGAGTTGCTCTTTCAGTAGTAACTCAGAGATGAAGAGCCAGTGCATAAGAAGCTGGACATTAAATGAGTAGCTGTAGCTAACTTGCACCCAAGAGTTTTTCGAAAGCTTCTGAGAAATTGTCTGCAGCATCAGCAACACTTTTCCCAGGTCTTGGAAGGCAGTGAAATGTCAGACCAGGCAAATGTGCCAGCATTTAAAATGAGCAAATGGATTAACTGGCATAATTATAAAAACTATCAACACCACAGTGATGCCAGGGCAAGCCAAGAGGCCACAGCAATGCCGGGGAAAGCAACTGGGCTGTCAATTAATGTTTTCCTATTCTCTGCATATAAAAGCCATTCCTTCAGCAAAGGTTAGAAAGACACATAATATTGAACTAACAACATTTCTGGGAGAATTACTTATTTGTTTGATATAGATAATAGTATTTACCAAGGAGACAGATTTTTGCAAGATCTGTTCTTGGTACCAAGCACAATTTTGCTTACAAGACTTACAGAATGAAACAAAGGACCATAGGACTTGATTGTCTAGCTAACTAAAAACAAATTTCTGTGTAACTATAAATGGGCATCTTCTTTAATTGCATATTGATGGGATTTTTGACCCTATATGTTCTTTTCTCCATTAAGAAGTTATTTTCTTACAGATCTGGCTGAGAGAAAATAGATAGATTCACAAGAACAATAGCTCAGTTTGTGCCCACACAAGCAATAAAGAGCTCAGCCATCATGTAGTATCCACAACGCTATGCAGTAATAAGTGATGGCCACAGGAATAGTCCTGTGGGACTGAAAGCCCCTTTAGGAGATCCATCACCCTGAAGGACAAAACAAGAATAAAACCAAACTCTTGGGGATGCCAGCAGACATTAAACAGAAGTACAATGCTGGGGACAATAGGACTGATGTTTTTGTGAGAGGTTGGTCCACTGCTGGGAACAATTTATCAAAGCTTATGTGACTTCACTGAAAGATGAAAAAGACTGTTTTGTTTTTTTTTTTTTTTTAAATCTGTATCTCTGAAACATCTTCAGCTGCTGAGAAACCTGCCCACCCTATTTACCATGCTTTCCATTTGCTGGATAGTTTTCACAGCTCTTAGGTCACGGATTAGTTATTTGCCATGATACAGTGAAATATCTACTTTTATACCTTTAAAATCAACATAAGCTAAATTATTTGGCCTCTGAGTAGAGGACAAAGCATTCTTGTTGCAGAAACTCAGTATCGTATCAAATAACACAAGCGTCTCAGCTGCTGTGCAAGCAGTGATGTTATTACAGCTAAGTCTGCAATTTTCCACCATGCATTGAAGCCCTTTGAGATGTTCAACAACTTCAAGCAACATCTACAGAAGCAGAAACAGACTGCCCTGAATTTGCTTTGCCCTCACTGCAAGCTGCAGGCACCTGAAATAATCTCAGAGCAAGAAGCATGCCAACATGGCCACAGTGCATCCAGGCAGGCACCAGCCTGATGGGGCTTGGCCACCTCAGAGTTCAGGTCTGTCTGCACCCAAACACGTGAGTGCAGGAGTGCGGGAAACAGCACCAGGGGGAGAATAGGAAGAAAGAAGTGTGTAGAAATGGGCCTGAAAGAGACTGCTTTCATCTAGATGTCCTCATCCAAAGAGGGAGAATATGGCAGACAAACTTTATTATGGGAAAGGAAGAAGCATGAAAAAAAATCTGTACGGGTGGAAAAAAGAGCAAAAGAGCTGAGAAATGAAATAAAAAAATTAAAAAACTAAAACACATGTTATCTTGAATCTATGGCTAAATTCTTATTAGAAATATGCAACGGGCATCTGCAATTAAAAACTTATTTTTGGTAGCAAGTTTGGGGTGTAACATACAATAATGAAGTTAAGGACCAAGATATAAACCTAGCTGAGGAAACAAGCCTGAAAGCATATTTTGCCAGAATGTGTAACCATCTAATACTGAAGTGCTTTCACACAAATGAAATGAGTTTCACTGACGTTTGCTTTCCTGAAAACATCTTCCTTATTTTTCCTTTCATTATTTAAGTAGGATATGGATATTTTCAGACTGAAACCGCTAGTTCTGAAATACCTTTAACATTAAAAATTCAATCAAAAAAACCGAAACCAAACCAAACCATGAAAACACTCTTTTGAGAGACAGAAACAATTCTGTCCCTTTTATTTTCTCAATTATCCTTTTGAAGCCTGTGAAACGCAAGGTGTTGCTTCATAAGAACAATTGTGAGTAAAGCTGTATCTGTTAATCAAAATCCAAACTTGCATAACTGGAAAAAAAAATAGGGGTCAAGGAATAGAAGCACTTCAAGTTGGGTTCCGCTTTGCCTAATTTTGCAACAGAGTCAACTCTAACTTGACCATTTTGTGTAATTGCATACTGGTCTTTTCTGTATTTTTTCCCCATCACTGGGGCTCTCATGTCTTTATTGATGAACCACCCTACCTTTTGCCTTGATACACAACATTGCTCCACTAAATTCAATTTTGCATCCTACTATTCAAAATATTTTCCTAGTCAAAACCATCAGCTCCTTCCCTGCCCCTCCACTGCCTCTTGCTTCTTGCCCAGATATCAAACACAAATACCTTGGTTTCACTGCAAATATTTCAGAATTTAACCCTCTGGGCCCCTCTCCCTTGGTGTCCTGTGGACACCAGAACAGCTTAGGAGAGGAGGAAGAATGAAAATGTTAACAGAGAAGGAACACTCCCTCAAAGGACTCTGTTCAATTCCTAAGGCTTATCACAGAAAAAGGACGTCCATAAAAACGTGCTAGTTAGACTAGGAACTGAGGTTTTGAAACAGTACCCAAATACTCCATGGATACAATGTCTTCCCACTGACACATTGTTTCATTTATCTGCCACCTTTGGTGAGGCTGTGGAAGCTGAGCACCCTGGGACTCCTCTTTTTTCCAGCCATGCCACAGGGTGCAGAGCACATCCTCAGCTCTGAGCTGGCCCTGCAAAATCTGGCACCTTGGGAACCAAAAGAAGTCCTAAATGTCTTTTAATAGACAGAATGCATGACCATGGGGGTAGATAAATACTGCAAAACAAATAAAAACATTTTTAAAAAGTCTACGATTAAGGTGTCCCTAAAAGATGTACATTTGGTGTTGCTTCCTTGCAAAATAATGCCAAAGGACCAAGTGCTACAATACCTTTAGATTTGGGAATTTACAGCAAATCAACCAAAAACAAACAAACAAACCAACCAACCAAAAAAACACAAACCACAAACCCTCTCATTGACAAAAGAGAGATTCCTCTCACCTAAGATTAGCATGGGTATTTGAACTCTAAACTGATAAAGCAGACATGAGTCCTTGCCAAGATTACAGCTCCATAAAGGACTTCACTACAATTTGAAATTTTAATTTTTTCAATACAAAAATAATAAAAAAAAATCTAATCAATTAAAATCCTGTCTCCTCTCAAAAAAACCCAAGAAGGTGAGGTCCCAGAAACATCATGCAAACCGTTTATTACTAGTCTGGCTTCAGGAGCTAGGAGTGTTCCTTGATCCCACTACATATGCTCTATTACAACTGGGCTGAATTAACTTCAGGGGTCTTTCAACTTTTAACAGCCCTAAACAAAATTATTAAGTTAGAGAGCAGATAAATAAAGCCTACTTTGAGATGGTCCATTTCCCATTCAAAGACTTCAAATGATCTAAACTAAGAGGGTGATTCTCTTTCCACTTCACAGTAACAGCTATCCTTTGTGCCAATTCCTCCCACACTGAGCTTTCAAGACTATGAACTGGAAAAGAAATTTGGCAGTACTGAAAAGCATGTTGTTGTAGGCTTTTTGAATCACTTTTCTGTTGAGGAAGGAGTATTTTTTTGGTAGGGATACATGCTGCATTAAAACCACACTACTGATGGAAAACAATTTTATGAAATCTGGATGTGAGCACATAATTTGTCTCCCACACACTCAAGTTACTTGGGTTTTTCACTTTATTGCCAAGCTAAGCATCTAGTAAGTCAAAGAAACTCCTGGCAAGCAATTTCAGAACACACATGTTGAACAATTTTTAAGTCACAGCTCACAGGCAAGCATCATGTCTGTACTGGGTTCTCCTACAGGGCTGTCATCAACTTCTGGTAGCCTGGGATAAGAAGGTGGGACTAGGACAATTCATGTAAAGTGCTATTAAATGAAAGAAAATTAGGACAGAATGTACAAAGAGGGTACAACTGGAAGAAAGAAAGGTCCGCAGCAGCAGAGCACAGAAGCCCTCAAATTAGTCTGCATAAGCCCGCTGGCCCATCTGTGTTGCAGGGAGAGAGTGCTGACACCAGTTCTGGATCTGGGATCCTGTGGAGGAAAGTGTTTCAGGGACAATCAAAACCAAAGTGCAGAATGTAAGCAGGGCATCAGCTTGTCCAGCAACAGATTCAGTGAGGAAACAGCCCTAACTGTGCACCCACAGCACTCTCTTGGGAGGGGAACACAAAACAACTACATGCCCGCAGCGAGGGGAGCCTTCTGAACCTCCAGGACAAGCACTTTCACAACCCTGAAGCCCAGTGATGTGTTTGGTACAGAACCTTAATTTTTAAGAACTAAGCCATGGAGCCATTGTTCCATCTACTTAGAAACAGACTTTTTTTCTGGCAGTTGGTAGAGGGTGAGAGAGAGGGTTTGTTCTACTTTGGTGGCTTATGAAACCAAACCAAATATGTGGTACATCAGGTCCAGTGTGTGAGCAATACCAGGCTGTGTGACATTTCGCTTAGGAAAGTTATATTAAGACTCTGAAAGAAACTTGAGTTTTAAAATTTGGTTTTAGCCACAGCTCCTTTCATGCTTTTGAAGATCTTTAATTAGAATGACAATTAGAGATTAACAATATTTGCTGTTGTTATAGGCCAATGACTCAACACACACTGAAGGAAACCCCTTGTAAAGGCTCTGCAGCACTGTGTTTTGCAGCAGTCTGTCACATAGCACCAAGATGGTGATGGTGATGCCAGTCTCTTCGCGAACGAAGAACCGGGGAAGGTCTTTCCACCTTCCAGCCTGTGCATTGGATTTTTTAGGTGAGACACAGTGTGCGCGGAACTGAGCCCACCCTTTAATCCTGAGGTTCATCTGCCGGGGCCAAGCACGCTTGGACGGTGGCAGCGAGGTCCTCAGGACGTAGATGGATTGCCTTACAGGGCTAACGAGCTCCATCTGCCCGGGGAGGGGCCCCGACCGGGAATCGAACCCGGGTCTCTGCAGTGACAGTGCAGTGTCTTTTCCCCTAGACTACCGGGAGCACCAAGA